CCCGCCCCCACCTCCACCTCCAAAACAAAAAGAAAAAATTAAACTCTAATGTAATTTTAAGAATTACTTAATAAATATTGTTAAACTCTAAGTAAGTTTACAATCATCTAAGAGTTTATCTTAGTTCAATATACATTCAGTTATTTATGTTTTTGCCCCCTGATTTTAAAGCATATTGAAAATAATTCTCAATCACATAGTGTAAAAGTATGGAAAATGTGTATTACGAGTTCAAGTCACGGTTATCTCTCCGGGTAATATTACTAATATTTGATCATTCTTAGACTTCGTAAGACCTCGTAACTCTCGTTTCATTTTGGTCGGTGAGTGTCATTACCAAGTTATCATAATGAGTGGCCAAGTGGCACATAAATCAACCATTGCAGGTGAATAAAGTCCAAATGAATTTAAGTACCTCTCCTACAAACCACAGCATTGCTAGTGCTATATATAGAGGTCCATTTTAGGGTCTAGTAGTCCTCATCAAGCACTTCTTTCTTAGTCATTCACACACTTTCTTTTGCTTACTTTGTTGCTCTGATGATCTGAGTCTTTCAGTCAAGACAATGGCTTCCACAGGAAAGCTTAATGTAGACATGGAGGTCAAGTCTCCGGCAGATAAGTTTTGGGAAAGCGTTAGAAACTCAAACACTCTGTTCCCAAAGCTCTTCCCTGACCAGTACAAGAGCATTGAAGTACTTGAAGGTGATGGCAAGTCTGTTGGCTCTGTTCGTCTGGTGACTTATGCTGAAGGTAAAATTACACTGATTATATATATTCAAGAAATATAGATACTATTTGGAGTAAATTACTCTGACCCTCCTCGAGATTCTGTCAAATTACACTCTATCTACGTTTTGGTGATTGCTTTAATCAAGAATGGGCTATGCATTCAATTATTGTGCCCTTTTATGAAAGAGGGAACCTAATAATTAAATGATCACAATGAGAGCCTCCCAAAAAACATAAACCAAGAAAGGAGTCAAAATGGTTTGTTCAGACTTGGATGACTTTCTACACCTAACTTGCATGTCAATTTTAATCTTGTTGGACGCCGTTTCATGAATTTTGATTGCCAGGCTTTTTGTAGAGTGTGAAATATTATTTACGATGTCGTCGCAAGAATCAACTTAATTCAAACTCGCGTAAAAAATTATGTCAAAAATATTATAATAATAAAACATTATGTCAAATACTGGGCCTAAAACCCAAGCTTTGTTGACTTTGTGATAGGAGCGGGGCTACTCGTCCTTGACTAAATGATTGAGTGCAATTTTTTTGTTTTTAACCAAGACAAGCACATAATCATTGCACAATTACTCATTTATCTAAAATTTACCAAAGATTATAGAGTAAATAAACCGATAATTCACTACCACTCCCAAAAGGATCTAATCTTTTGAGTGTGTAATGAAAAAAATGAAGTTTCTATTGCTACTGAATTGGTGTATGGTTTTGCTCTCTAGGGTTGCCCCTTGTTTCGGTGTCGAAAGAGAAGATTGATGCTGTGGATGAAGCAAACAAAACAGTTTCCTACAGTGTCGTCGGTGGCGAGCTCCTGAAATACTACAAGAACTTCAAGGCTCACCTTACTGTGACTCCAAAGGGAGATGGGAGCTTGGTGCTATGGTCCTGTGAGTTTGAGAAGGCAACTGAAGAGGTTGTTGACCCACACTTCATCAAAGACTTTGCGGTCAAGAACTTCCACCACTTGGATGGTTACATTCTGCAGCAACCAAACTAAACTGTTTCTGAGCAAAAATAAATAATCTGCAGTAGTCTGAATCTGCAGTTATGATAGTTTATATTTCTGTGTGCGTGTGTTGTGGCTGGATCAATGTATTGGTTCCTGTCACTAGTTAATAATATATATATTAATCCTAATGCTTCTTATTTGGGCAATGCAAATGGTGGAAATTTTACAACTATTTCAAATAAGAATTTTGGTTTCAATTTTTTTTTTTTTACAATGAGAATTGTGCGGTTAGAATTTGGCTTCGACCACCAACTTTATTGTTAGAAATAAATTGACAACATGGTTTTTAATCTAGTTTAAGTCACAATGATCAATTGTTGAGTTTGAGGGAATAGTCGGTACAAGTCTATAGCTAAAAAAGAAAAAAAGAATTGACAACTTGTTTAGCAGCACATTAATGTTAAAGTTACACCTTTATCCTTACATGTATGAACATTTTCATTGAAGTGAGATCGATTATCAAGTATATTTTCTTTTTAATACATGTCGTAGATCCATGGGTCACCCTTTTTATATAAATGGATCCCCCATACTAATATATGTTGGGTAATCCACAAAAATTATTAAAAGGGATCTGGATCCGTTTTATTAAGTTTAATTGTATGTAGTTAATCGACCTAATTACTGAGTCCTTTTCATTACTCATCGTACAAAAGAGATTAATTTTAAGCACACGGACATAAGTTTAATAGGGGTGACAATTGTGTCGGATTGGATCATGTCATTTTAAGTTCGTGTCGAACATTAATCATTCTAATATAATTCGTTTAACTAATTGTGTCATGTCATGTCGATTTATTTATTTTAGTGTCGTATTCGTGTTAACCCATATAACTCATGGGTAAAAAATTTAATACTTAGTTTTATTTTTAAAATTTCATTATCACTTAATCTAATTTATGCTTATATTTTTTCTCTAGAAATTAAAATTTAGCTAATAAATATAATAATAAAAACGAAAACATATTTTTTTTATAAGAATTAGGTTATTACTTGATAAAACATAATAAAAATTTAATATTTTATTCTTATAATACTATTTAAATGTACTAATCATATCAATTTCGTGTTGTTTATATTTGACATTAATTTAACTAATTTGATATTTATATTAACAAGTTGTGTCATACATAAATTCATGTTGATAAATAATCAATTTTAACCCATTAAATTTATATTAATTTCCAATCATGTTTTCATATTTTGTCATAAATTATCACCTCCCGTCTCATCTCCTCCCATCTCAATTTATTTTCTATCATTTATTCTTTCGAGCAATGTTATTAAAATATAATTTGAGAACATAATTTAGAGACTTAATGATTGTAGTAATTAAATTATTAATGAGTTCTAACATTAAATTATCACTGAATTATATTATTATCAATCTATTGACCATAATATCTTAAATTTTCAAATTATGCCAATATTATTGTTATTACTAGTAATTGTCTGTGCCTGAAAGCATGACGTAACGAAAAATTAAATTAAAACTCAAAAAATATTATATTACCTATTTGCAACTTAAAACAACATGTCTATAGAACTTACAATCAAACATAACAATCATCATAATTCACCATACCGTGTGTACTAATTAATACATACCTAGCCATCAACACATGTCTAACCACCAAAATATCAAGCTAGTCCCTACTAATTTTAAAAAATTTCGATAGAGTTTCCTTTAAAAATAGAAGCCCAAAAAAATGTAAACATGTCTACAAAACTTACAATCATCAATAATAATCATCATAATACACTATATCACCACAATCATCAATACATACCTAACCACCAAAACAACCATCATTCCATATATAAAATCATCAAAACCATGCATAATTAGTTAACTTTAAAAAGGACGGAACACAAAAAATACACACATGCACAAATAGAGAAATAACTCCATCTTCTTTATAGCGTATACTAAGTATCCTTCAATGTATACCTGAAAATATTTGAAATATAAAAATTATCAAAATATGGCAAACTAAAACAATTATCAAAATACGTGAGCAAAACATATGGATAATACATAATTATTGTCATCAATTCCATTACCTTGAATTATCTAAAAAACAAATGAGCACACACATTTGTATGTAGTAGGGGAGGGGGAATGACTTAGATTGATATAAGTAAGAATTTAGAGAGACTGTAACAAATTAACAATTTATTTAGAAAAAGATATGGAGTAGTGTAGAGAAAGACTAACAATCAAATAAGTATTTCTCAATAGCATTTCAACAAACGATTCATTTACCAAATAATTTCAATCATAAATTTTTATTGGTGGTAGTATAATGGTGTGTGAGTTCAATTTGCGAGTGTTTGATTGATTACAATTGTGTGTGTGTGTGTGTGTGTTTGTGCAAGTATTGTGTGTGTTGCGTGTCTGCATGAGAAGTGGAGAAATATATAAATCCTCAATAAGAGAGACTTTCACGCTTGGACAAATATTTGATCAATGGTGGGTTAGTCATCGTCAAAAGTGGACAGGTCGGTATTGGATTGCAGATCGTTTGAGTTTTCTCAGAAATAATGTCATCTTTTAATAACTCTCATTTTCATCCCTTTAAACCTTCTCTTTATCTATATCCTTAATGTTCTCGTATCAATACGAACACACTTGCCCAATGGGGGGATGCACAACCATCAAAATTATTTACATAAACAGTAAAATTAACACAATATATATATATATATATATATTATAGGAATAGTAAAATTATTTTGAATAAATGAAGTAAGAGTAGATTTACTTGATTACGCCAGCTCCATCTACAAAGGTCCATTGTATATACTCTATCGTTCTCTTTGACAAATTCACTCCAATCCCACAAAGAATGAACCTCTTCGTAAAATTAAAAATTAAAATGTTGAAAAGATTAGAAGAGATTTCTTTTTCTTTCCCTTTAAATTTGGTATTTGCCAATGCATTAGACCTTTTTTTCTCCTTCTATTCTAGATTCTGTATGGGGTGTAATAAAATGCTACTTAATAGGGAAAAAAAATGAATGAGAAAGAGGTATGAGGTAATACTACCTCACGTATACGGAGACGATTTAGTTCATACTCATTACGAATTACCACTTTTACATTATTATGACGAAGTCTTCGAACCTATAGACAATAAAGGTCAGATAAAAAGTTTTCTAGATAAAAAAGTTGAATAGTAAATAAACGGGGTAAAAATGTTAGATAAAAAGTAATAAAATGATGAGTAAGAAAACTTATCATACAATATTTTTTAGATCGTTGTCCATCTGTCACAACATTAATGAAGATAAATCAAAATAAATAAGTTATTAAAAAAATCAATAAGAGATGTTTAGAAAGAGTTAATCAGATAATAAACTTACACAACCAAAAATAATGACATCATCCATCGGTCGATAATTGTGCAGTTGAAACGGTGGTGACTATACAGTAAAATTACAAATGATTAACATTAATTACAATGAAATTTCAACTATAAAATTAACATCAATTACAATGAAATTTCTTTCAATTAACATGCATTTAATCAAACCTAATACATACACAAAATGACAACCAAAATTAGCCTACAAATTACACAAAATAAACACTTAATAATAACCAACTATAAAAGACATCCAATTAAAAAAAATAACCTATTTTATCATAATTATAACAGCCAAATTAAAAGACACCTAATTAAATAAAAATAACCTAACATTTAAAAAACCATTAAAGCAACGATGTGTGCAGATCCAATTAAACACCCAATTTAAACGACATTCAAAAATCATTAAAGCAAGGATGCAAAAAGACACCCAAATTAAATACCAAAATTAAACACCCAACCTAACATCCAATTAAACACCCATTTAAAAAACACCCAAATTAAACACCAAAATTTTAAAAAGTAAAATTTAAAACCCCTTTTATACACAAACATTCAAAAACTACTATACAGTGTGTGGTTCTGTGCAAATGTGCTGTTTTATGTGTGTGAGAGAGAGAGATATAGAGTGAGACATATCCCTCAAGAAATATTGAAAAAGCTGTCGGCAACATAGATAATGCTGCCTGTGATTAGATTATGACAACTCTATATGTAAAACTTATAGATTTTGGTTCCACATTGTTAAACAAATGTCATAGGGTGGATAAGATGGAATTAGCTTGCCATGGGTTGCAAGAATTTCATAAAGTTGGTTGTTGTAAGTGATCGACAGAAACTAAGATGGAGTTTCGGTGTTAAACAAAAGGCCAAAAAGCTAGGGGAAAAAGGCTGATGATGATTTGGTTATATTATTTGCTTAATAAGTACCAATGTTATATTATTTGCTTACGAAAAAACAAACTGATCTTACTTTTTTTGCCATCAATGTCATATTATTTGCTTACAAAAAAACAAAATAGAAATCAGGAATAAAAAAAGAGTAGAAACCTATCTTGCTTCTGTATGGACCTTTGATACATAACAACTCCTTGAATACCCTAGTTTTGACATTGATAATTTGTCTTTGACCGGACTAAAGAGTGAATTAATCAAAATGTACATAAGTTGGTCAATACACTCCTGATAATTAAACCAAAAAAAATAATGGTTTAATTTACATAGCATGCTCATCTTGGAACACCCAGAAAAACTAAAGAAAATTAATGGAAAAAGAAGAATAAACTTGTGAAGAAAAACAACTAAGTCTTCCATTCTATTCTCCAAAAAATATTTACATCAAACTACTTAAAAACCAATGCTCTCAATGAAATGCTGAATGGAGATCAAAAATGAAAAAAAAAAAAAAAAAAAAANTATTGTGTGTGTTGCGTGTCTGCATGAGAAGTGGAGAAATATATAAATCCTCAATAAGAGAGACTTTCACGCTTGGACAAATATTTGATCAATGGTGGGTTAGTCATCGTCAAAAGTGGACAGGTCGGTATTGGATTGCAGATCGTTTGAGTTTTCTCAGAAATAATGTCATCTTTTAATAACTCTCATTTTCATCCCTTTAAACCTTCTCTTTATCTATATCCTTAATGTTCTCGTATCAATACGAACACACTTGCCCAATGGGGGGATGCACAACCATCAAAATTATTTACATAAACAGTAAAATTAACACAATATATATATATATATATATATTATAGGAATAGTAAAATTATTTTGAATAAATGAAGTAAGAGTAGATTTACTTGATTACGCCAGCTCCATCTACAAAGGTCCATTGTATATACTCTATCGTTCTCTTTGACAAATTCACTCCAATCCCACAAAGAATGAACCTCTTCGTAAAATTAAAAATTAAAATGTTGAAAAGATTAGAAGAGATTTCTTTTTCTTTCCCTTTAAATTTGGTATTTGCCAATGCATTAGACCTTTTTTTCTCCTTCTATTCTAGATTCTGTATGGGGTGTAATAAAATGCTACTTAATAGGGAAAAAAAATGAATGAGAAAGAGGTATGAGGTAATACTACCTCACGTATACGGAGACGATTTAGTTCATACTCATTACGAATTACCACTTTTACATTATTATGACGAAGTCTTCGAACCTATAGACAATAAAGGTCAGATAAAAAGTTTTCTAGATAAAAAAGTTGAATAGTAAATAAACGGGGTAAAAATGTTAGATAAAAAGTAATAAAATGATGAGTAAGAAAACTTATCATACAATATTTTTTAGATCGTTGTCCATCTGTCACAACATTAATGAAGATAAATCAAAATAAATAAGTTATTAAAAAAATCAATAAGAGATGTTTAGAAAGAGTTAATCAGATAATAAACTTACACAACCAAAAATAATGACATCATCCATCGGTCGATAATTGTGCAGTTGAAACGGTGGTGACTATACAGTAAAATTACAAATGATTAACATTAATTACAATGAAATTTCAACTATAAAATTAACATCAATTACAATGAAATTTCTTTCAATTAACATGCATTTAATCAAACCTAATACATACACAAAATGACAACCAAAATTAGCCTACAAATTACACAAAATAAACACTTAATAATAACCAACTATAAAAGACATCCAATTAAAAAAAATAACCTATTTTATCATAATTATAACAGCCAAATTAAAAGACACCTAATTAAATAAAAATAACCTAACATTTAAAAAACCATTAAAGCAACGATGTGTGCAGATCCAATTAAACACCCAATTTAAACGACATTCAAAAATCATTAAAGCAAGGATGCAAAAAGACACCCAAATTAAATACCAAAATTAAACACCCAACCTAACATCCAATTAAACACCCATTTAAAAAACACCCAAATTAAACACCAAAATTTTAAAAAGTAAAATTTAAAACCCCTTTTATACACAAACATTCAAAAACTACTATACAGTGTGTGGTTCTGTGCAAATGTGCTGTTTTATGTGTGTGAGAGAGAGAGATATAGAGTGAGACATATCCCTCAAGAAATATTGAAAAAGCTGTCGGCAACATAGATAATGCTGCCTGTGATTAGATTATGACAACTCTATATGTAAAACTTATAGATTTTGGTTCCACATTGTTAAACAAATGTCATAGGGTGGATAAGATGGAATTAGCTTGCCATGGGTTGCAAGAATTTCATAAAGTTGGTTGTTGTAAGTGATCGACAGAAACTAAGATGGAGTTTCGGTGTTAAACAAAAGGCCAAAAAGCTAGGGGAAAAAGGCTGATGATGATTTGGTTATATTATTTGCTTAATAAGTACCAATGTTATATTATTTGCTTACGAAAAAACAAACTGATCTTACTTTTTTTGCCATCAATGTCATATTATTTGCTTACAAAAAAACAAAATAGAAATCAGGAATAAAAAAAGAGTAGAAACCTATCTTGCTTCTGTATGGACCTTTGATACATAACAACTCCTTGAATACCCTAGTTTTGACATTGATAATTTGTCTTTGACCGGACTAAAGAGTGAATTAATCAAAATGTACATAAGTTGGTCAATACACTCCTGATAATTAAACCAAAAAAAATAATGGTTTAATTTACATAGCATGCTCATCTTGGAACACCCAGAAAAACTAAAGAAAATTAATGGAAAAAGAAGAATAAACTTGTGAAGAAAAACAACTAAGTCTTCCATTCTATTCTCCAAAAAATATTTACATCAAACTACTTAAAAACCAATGCTCTCAATGAAATGCTGAATGGAGATCAAAAATGAAAAAAAAAAAAAAAAAAAAA